ATCTACAGGTCTGGATTCAAGTGTGGACAATGTAATAAGACATACTCTAGCAAAGATGAATACTTGGATCTTACTGTCACTGCTGATTTGGATGATTATAATGAAGTCAAACCCATTACTACCGAACTCTTTCGGTACGTTTTCATGGTTTTATCAAATCTGCACTAACCATCTCTGCTAATGTTAGCTCAAGTCTTATGAGAGCTTTTCTATGTGTGTGTGTGTGTGTGTGTAGGAGTCCATTAGTATCATTTTTGTATGAAAGAGGTTGGCGTCAAGCCTTTAAGCGAAGCGGGTTTCCCGGTCCAGATGAAGAGGTACTTACATCTTTGGTCTTTCATTTGTGCTTTCCTCATGGTCTAATACTTTGAAATGCAGTTTAGAATGGCTGAGGAATACTTCAAAGAATCAGAAGGTGGGATTCTTGTGGATGTTAGTTGCGGAAGCGGTTTGTTTTCCCGCAAATTTGCAAAGTCTGGCAAATACTCTGGCGTGATTGCTCTCGACTATTCTGAAAACATGCTTCGTCAATGCAAAGAATTCATCAAAAATGATAATACTTTTGACAACTCAACTAATATAGCAGTAGTGAGAGCAGATGTTTCTCGCCTCCCTTTCCCATCGGGTTCTGTTGACGCGGTTCATGCCGGTGCTGCTTTGCACTGTTGGCCTTCTCCTACAAATGCTGTAAGTTCTTGAATTTGTCAGAGCTTCATGAGTGTTGCAAAATGCAAATGGTCACTTGTTAAGTTTGTCTTTGTGTTGTTGTTTTCAAGATTGCTGAGATATGTCGTGTTCTAAGAAGCGGAGGTGTGTTTGTTGGGACAACGTTTCTCAGATACAGCCCTTCGACTCCTTGGATTATTCGTCCTTTCCAATCGGTAAAGAGAATTATAATGATCAAAAGTGGCTATTCTATGCATAAATTTTGATCTTGTATTTGCATTTTGCAGAGAATTCTGCAGAGCTACAATTACTTGATGCAGGATGAGATCAAGGATGTGTGCACATCATGTGGTCTCACAGATTATGAAGATTATATTCAGGATTCTTTTATTATGTTCACTGCTCGCAAGCCTTAAAGAGAGCCCTCTCTTCATGTAACTACATTTCTATACACAGTACAAAATTATAGTTATAAACAAGTTGATGTGAGTGATATTATTGTTGTTGTGACAGATTGAACAGATAGATAAATAGAGTGGGAAAAATCTACATTTTTATGTGACGTTTTTCTCTGGAACAAAACAAACAAGATTTGGAGCAAGTCATTCATATCTAAAGAGTAGAAACAACTTTATATTATTAAAACTCAAAATCCAAGAGTAGTTTCATCAGCGCAAAAATTTAAAACTAATTAGAATGAGATGAATCTTGCTGGTCATATCAAATCAAAATTGTATCTCTTTGACGCCTTGTTGGAGTAGTCACAAGCCTTAGACAGCTTCTGCAGTTTCATGCTTCTTCTTGTCAGTATCTTTGTCTTTGCGACAGCGGAAGTGGAAAAACTGAAGCAGAATCTGAAAGAAAGAGGTTACAAATGAATAAAGTTAGAGCTCAGTGGCGAAAGAAAGGAATCAAAGATCATGGAAGTTGATGAGAGAGATCGTATACAAGAAAATCAAGTACAACACATCCTCCTGCATCAACAAGCCACGGTAGATTCGGTGCAATTTTTAACCATTCGACGCTGTTCACAAGTATGCTGCAACCAAAACAAAAAAGGTTAAGAAGGTTCCATCAGAGATTATTTAGCGAGGTAAGTATAAATATTGTTGATCTTCACCTTGCAACATAAGTCATATTGCCAACTAATGCAAAGAAGAACATCAATGGATTCAATCCCTGCAGTTACAAAAGAAGAACAGCAAATAGATTCATCAGATACAACACTTGACTGTATCTTTGTGTCGAGTCATTTAACTTGCTTACCTCAACATGTCCTCTCCTCATCTGCCAAAAAAAGAGACATTGAAAAGGAACTTTGCTTTAGCTAAAACTGTTATAAACGATAGATCGATAGAATAAATTAGTTATAGACAATTAAAAAGCCTTTTACATTGAGACAAATTTGGGGAAGCCTTCCACCCATGTAAATGGCTGCCATTGCCCAACCCAAAAACATTCCAATTCTGCTGCTTTCTCCACCGCTATGTTCTCCTACGTTGCTGCTAGTGACCTGAAATAGAACCGATAGTATTCACAACTTACATTAACATTAAGTTGTTCTATAGATTAAGAAAAGGTAACCCGAAATTCCTTTGACAAAAATGAGCGTGAGTGATAAATTTTAATTCACTGAAGACAGTAGACTCGAAATGCATATATTAATATATTATAATGTGCGACTTATGAGTACCTGCAGAAGCTTTCTTGCTGCTCGAACTACAAATACTCTATCTCTCTCACCCAAAGCCATAGTTCTTGATTCACTTAGCATATTGGGAAGGTTGAATGTTCCAAGAAACAAGAACACCGAGACCTATAAGAGAACAATGACATTTTAGTTCCTAATGAAACTGCTTTAAATTGTGAAATCAAAATCAGGCATTGTGAACAAGGCTAACCACGCAAAGCATTGATTTGGTGGAAGGAGGCAATGAAGGAGGTGTGGAATCCCCAGGAAGCAAGGGCTCTTCAAGAGTTGGTTCACTGTGACCACGAGCCATTCTTTGAGCTAAGACAGATCCAGCTGGTGGTGTATGACTACTAGACAAAGATCTTGCCGACCTGACAAAATTTAAACGCAAAACACAACCTTTTAACAAATCTCTCGCTTGGAAATATTGTTTTCATCAAAATGCTAGTGAAGCCCGAGTACAGATCTATATGGCATCATTACGTGTAAAACAGTTCTCTTCCGGTAAAACTAGTTCGATGACTCCCAGGAATCATAGTGATAGGTGTGGTTTGACCGCCACAAGTAGTAGTATCAGAGCTATTTCTCCATCTGCCCGGAATTTTAACATCACTGCTTATACTAGATATACGTTCTGCTTCAACCTGCACCAAACATTCATATTCTAGCTGTTTTAGTAATTACACGTAATCAACAGTCTCTAAAACAAGGAAGAATACTAATCAAATAGTATACCATCTGATTTCTTCTGTTTTTCAACCGCGGGTAGATATGGCCGTAATATATAGATTGAACATAGAGAACTGATGTAGTCACTGTATACAACTGCAAACAAATCACACATATTATGCAAAGAAACAAACAAACACTGTAAACATACAGTGCTTCTAGTCTTTTGTCAATTACCAGTGCCATGTAGAATTGTGTTGGAAGCTGCAAAAGGATATAAGAAATTTAGAGTTAGCTAAGCTACTCAAAGGTAAGATAACAAGATCGAGGAAACTAAGGTTCTGAAGATTCACTCACAGTAGCTGGTTCCATCAAGCAGCCAAGAAGATTGAAGATATCCCTACACAACAAACCAATTCAAAATTTTGCCATTTCCCATCAAACCAAAAGTCAATGCACTCTAGGAACAAGTAAGAAGCAAAAGCATTTGACATCTTACCCAATCATCCACGTCGTTAAGAAGGCAATAGATAGACCTTCAGTGGATTTCTCAGTGTAATTAGTCATAATCTGAGGTATCTCGGCAACACCCCAACTGATAACACTGATGACACCAAGAGATAATGACAATCCATCTCTAAAACTGCTGTGGAGAAACATCTTCTTCACAGCCAAAAACCTGTTAAACACAAAATCCAAAAAAAAAGTCCTTAATGAGCAAAGAAAACGTCTTTTTGATTGTGAAAGCTAGAAAAAAGAGTTAGAAGACGAAAAGGAAAGGAATTTACACTACAATGACCACATTTGAAGAGGAATAGGAAAAAACATTTCAAACAGTAGAAAACGAATCATAGAGAATAAAAAAAGTATTCTAATTCCGTCAATAATTCAATATTTGTTGTAATCTACTAGATTCACAAACAAAAAGACCCCACAAAGTGAATATTCCCCCAAAACCCAAATCACCCTCAGGATTCAGATTCTTCCATTTAAAGCAACAAAATCGAAAACGTTACACAGAATCTGGTTTCGACATTCACATATCCAACACCATTACTGTTAACATAATCTATTCGTAGGTTTCATGAAAAGCAAGAGACGTCGATTCATTGATACATTACATTAGGAGAAACGTTTACAATCATCTATCTACACATCAATAGAAGAGAAAGTTGTTACCTTTACCAAAAGAAAAAACGAAACCCGTGAATGGATGATTCGACGGGTTTAGTTTAGCTTCGAAGATTTATTAATCTGGGAGATTTTAAAAGGAGAGGCCTTTAAGCGTTTAGAGGTAGCTTTGGTGACTGCTTTTCGTTTGTCTTTTTGTTGTTTTATGGTAATGGCGATATCTCTCTCTCATGTGTTCCTTCTGGAAAACACAAATCACCACCTCAGAGAGAGTTTTCTACTTTTCTTCTTCAATTCCAATATTCCTTGTAAATAATTACAAATATTATTTCTTCTATCCGTCGTCTTATTTTTATTTCCTAGCATTATTGTCGCTAAAGAGTAGTGGATTTGGTATCGATTCTAGTCTTATTCTGTTTGTTTTAGAAATTGTTTTTCTTTATGTCACTTCGCTGGAAATTGTTGGCCATAAAGTGAATGGCAAAATAAAAGATATTGGGGGGCATGTCTACCAAAATAATGAGATAAATAATAATTGATGAAATAATTATAAATAAACAATATTTATATCTTTTAATGGATGGAACTTTTTAATTGTTTTTTCTTAAAAAAAAAAATTGCAACTACTCGTTGAATGAGATGTAAATTACATCATGTAATCGGTCCGGTTCAGTTTGTTAATTCCAAGTGACAGACCGGTCAACTGGAGATGAACCAAAAGTCCCGGTACATTCTGTATGGGCCACAAAAGTCCAACATATGACATGATAATTCAAGGCCCAATAGGCGTCTTATTATTTTATTTTATTTTTGTTTCTTAATAAGACAAGAATTGGCATCATCTGTCTTCACGCGACAGCGAATCGGTAAGCTTCACAAGTTGAAGCCGAAGAGGATCAAAAAATCAATTTTTTTTTTTTGTTTCGAAGAACCAGGAATCACAAAACCCTAGAGGACTCTCTGTAATCAACCTTAAAAACCCACCAATTCCATCATGGCAAAGAAGAGAAAGCTCGAATCTGAATCCAACGAAACGTCAGAGCCGACGGAGAAGCAGCTGCAATGTGAAAAAGAGGATCCGGAATTCAGAAATGATGATAAACAGAGAGACCACGACGAAGAAGTAGTAGGAGAAGACGCACTAAAGGAGGAAGCTAAAGGTGAAGATAATACAGAGGCGGAGACGTCGTCAGGATCTGCGAATCGGGGAAATGGGGATGATGACGAAGAAGAACCCATCGAGGATCTATTGGAACCGTTTTCAAAGGATCAACTTTTGATTCTTCTCAAGGAAGCTGCAGAGAGACATAGCGATGTTGCTAATCGAATCCGGATTGTGGCGGATGAAGATTCTGTTCATCGTAAGATCTTCGTTCACGGGCTTGGATGGGATACTAAAGCCGAAACACTTATCGAAGCTTTTAAGCAATACGGAGAGATCGAAGATTGCAAATGTGTGGTTGATAAGATATCTGGGCAATCTAAAGGTTATGGCTTTATCCTCTTTAAGTCAAGGTCTGGTGCTCGTAACGCTCTTAAGCAGCCTCAGAAGAAGATTGGAACTCGCATGACTGCTTGCCAGCTGGCGTCTATAGGACCTGTTCAGGGAACCCCTGTTGTGGCTCCTGCTCAGCATTTCAATCCTGAGAATGTTCAGAGGAAGATCTATGTTAGTAACGTTAGTGCAGATCTTGATCCGCAGAAGTTGCTGGAGTTTTTTTCAAGATTTGGGGAGATTGAAGAAGGTCCTTTGGGGCTTGATAAAGTTACTGGGAGACCTAAAGGTTTCGCTTTGTTTGTCTATAGATCCCTGGAAAGTGCCAAGAAGGCATTGGAGGAGCCACACAAGACTTTTGAAGGCCATGTCTTGCATTGCCATAAAGCAAATGATGGGCCTAAACAGGTTAAGCAACATCAACATAACCATAACTCTCACAATCAAAATTCCCGCTACCAAAGGAACGACAGCAATGGTTATGGTGCACCTGGAGGCCATGGACATTTCATAGCTGGTAATAACCAAGCTGCGCAGGCGTTTAACCCGGCTATTGGCCAAGCCCTCACAGCTTTGCTGGCATCTCAGGGTGCTGGGTTGGGTTTGAACCAAGCATTTGGGCAGGCTTTGTTGGGGACATTAGGGACAGCTAGCCCAGGAGCTGTAGGTGGAATGCCAAGTAGCTATGGTACTCAAGCAAATATCACGCCTGGGGTCTATCCTGGGTACGCTGCCCAAGCCGGGTTTCAGGGCGGTTATCAGACTCAGCAACCTGGTCAGGGCAGTGCTGGAAGAGGGCAGCATGGTGTTGGGTATGGTGGTCCTTACATGGGTCAGATGTAGCCACTCAGGTATACATTTGCAGCTCCTTTCCGTCGGTTTCATTGATGTTCTGTGTCAGACTTTACCTGTAGTTCGTTTGGTTCCGTTATGATTATGACCCTTGTATATCTTAAGACATGGACTTGCTGTTTTTTTTTTTACCTTTTCATGGTTAACTCCATTATGTTAACTTTTTTGCATTGAAAGATCATTGTTTTCAAAGTTACTGTGACTTTGTTGTGTTTCTTAAGGGTGTTCGGTTTTGCACCCGTTTATAAAAGTCTTCTCTGATTTACTCAATTCATTGTGCAGATATTCCAATACAGTACTTTTTATATTGGCCTGGTGAATCTTCTGAAGTTATTAAGGAGCTGATGCAAATGGAGTTGTTTAGTTTTTGGATGAAATGTTACTCTTTCGTGTCTTCAAAAGCCATGACTCTTCAAACCTTTCAAGAAGTTTTAGTTTTCCCCTACTTATTTCTCAACCTTTTTTATGATATCCCAAATACACTGTTCTGATTTAACCATTATGGTCTCTGTTTTAAACTTTTGTGAACGTTTTCATTTGTAAAACTTAAACAGTGTTCCTCATGGACACACAAATGCTTTCACTCTGTTTGAATTCGTATTTTCTCTTAATCAGACTCTAGTTTTTATTGGTTCTCTCTATGTTTCGCGGTTTTGTGGATTTTTTTCATGCACGTAATTCCTCTTACCATTTTGGTCGTATTATATTACTCTGGAACCTTGTGAGAGTATGATCACACGTTCACTTTGCATGTGTACATTATGGCTCATCTTGATCACCACATATCATATCTGCTTAATCCTTATTCCTCTTGCAGGTAATTTGAGAGCAAAGCTGAACGGTCAACACTTACGCCCAGCAAAATCTTATGGGGTACCAAATATTTGACTGTCGTCTATCTACTTTTTTTTTTTTTTTTTTTTTTGTTTTTGTACTGACAAAAGAAAAGGGATGAATCTATGAATTGGTAGCTTTATAACTAAAGAAAGAATTTAGCAAAAGTTGTTTTCTTGTTTAGCTTAGAAAGGCATCTACCTGAGTCCAAAAGATCAACTTGTTTTGGATAATACGAAAAAGTTTCAACAAGTCTTGTCCTGCATATGTCAAGTTTTTTCGACTTCTTTTAAAGCAGGTTTTTTCTTGTGTGTACTTAAGAGTTCCCTAATCTTTCTATAGCTTTGAATGTGCATTTCATTTGACCACATCTCAAAAATTTTGGTATTGTGGCTTAGAATAAATTTCGAACCGAGTTTGGTTACACAGCTTGAATTGGTATTTTGCTGTGGCATCATTGGAGCTCTGCAATGTCTTCCCAAATAAAGAAAGGTAAGTATAAATATTTGCATTGTGAAGATTTGTATATAACTATAGAACCATAGTTGAGGAATGAATTGATGATGTTAAGTCCTTACACAAATGTGCTTCCCGTTTTGAACTGTTTCTTTTGTATGTTGAATCAGAGCTGCTTTACGAGAGTATAAGAACCAGAGTATCTACTCGTCATTCACTAATGCTAAGTGCAAAGGTTCCACCTACTAGGCCACTGGGTATAGTTAACTTATGAAGCTTTTACAGCACTTGATTTATAATTATAGGAGACCTAAGTTGGTAAATCCAGATATAGTGTATGTTCTTGTTCTCTATGTGACAGGATCAAGCTACCACACATGGTTCAAGAGTATTCTCTATGTGTGAGTTTGATTAGAATTTACAAACAGTCAAGGACAAAGGTACACAAGGAAGCGGAGTCTCTTGATAAGAAGAATAGGAGAGTAATAAAGAAAGAGAAAAGGGAAACAGAAACACGTGGGAGAACATCCCAAAGAGGAAGCACACGCGGATCTTCATGCAAAGCTGAAAGCCCCGATTCTCCCATGTGGTCCCTTCCTTCCTTTGTCCCCCTCCTCTTTCTCCTTTTACTCTTTTTTTACCATAATACAACGAATCTTTTTTTTATCATATTGTTTTGGTTTTATTGATAAATCAGTAACACCTTGGTTACTTCACAATCTTACTTTTTTCATATAAGAAGCGCATTTTGGGAAACTTATGTTTGAGAAAGACAAGTCTTTTTAGAGAAAGTGATGTAGCAAAGCTAAAGTGATTATATAAATAACTCTAAACAATGTCTTGATGACTTGATTTATTATTCTTAGGGAATAAACTTACTTTCTAAAGTGTTTATAAGTTAATACTTTCATATCTGATCATAAGTACGGAGACTATTGTTTTTTGTTTGTTTGTGTTTATTCGAAAAGAAAGTAGCTTTTAATTGAAATGTCCTCAAAGGCACAGTTTAAAGTTCGAGTGTAACAGTTTCTAAGGCATAAAAAGCTCTTCTTTCTCTTTCTCTTTCTACTATCTCCTGTGGAGAAACTAAGGAGATAGAGAGAGACAGAGAAGAGAATGTGTGTTTGGTTTTATAATCTCTCTGCTCATACAAAAAAATATTTGTCTCAGACCCACCACTTGGACAGACAGAACCCCAAGCTCCTTTCTTCCTTTTTCTCGATCTGCTCTTTCTTAATCTCCTTTTTTGAAACTTGAAGCCAGTTCAACATCATCCTTAAACTTTTGTTCCCTTCTTCGCAATCTCCTACCACTTCTCATTTCTCTAGTTGAGTTGTTGTTATCTGCATTTTTGAGCACTCGAATACTGCATGCAATTTCCCTGATTGTTTATTACCTTAGAAATTTCTCGATTTTTGTGTGTGTTTAGATCGAACCAGGGTTTACTAAATTGTTATTGTTTCTGTTTAAAGGCTATATCTATGGGTTCTATTAGAGGAAACGTTGAAGAACCTATATCTCAGTCGTTAACTAGGCAAAACTCTCTCTATAGCTTAAAGCTCCATGAGGTTCAAACCCACTTAGGCAGTTCTGGAAAACCACTAGGAAGCATGAACCTTGATGAGCTTCTCAAGACTGTCTTGTCTCCAGCTGAGGAAGGGCTTGTTCGTCAGGGAAGCTTGACGTTGCCTCGAGATCTTAGTAAAAAGACAGTTGATGAGGTCTGGAGAGATATCCAACAGGACAAGGATGGAAACAGTACCAGTACTACTACTACTCATAAGCAGCCTACACTCGGTGAAATCACTCTTGAGGATTTGTTGTTGAGAGCTGGTGTAGTGACTGAGACAATAGTCCCTCAAGAAAATGTTGTTAACATAGCTTCAAATGGGCAATGGGTTGAGTATCATCATCAGCCTCAACAACAACAAGGGTTTATGACATATCCGGTTTGTGAGATGCAAGATATGGTGATGATGGGTGGATTATCGGATACACCACAAGCGCCTGGAAGGAAAAGAGTAGCTGGAGAGATTGTGGAGAAGACTGTTGAGAGGAGACAGAAGAGAATGATCAAGAACAGAGAATCTGCAGCACGTTCACGAGCTAGGAAACAGGTTCAGAACTTGAGATCGTCTTTTAATTAATAATGTTTGTTTGTTGTTAGTTTGTCTAGTAATCACATTGAAACTTGCAGGCTTATACTCATGAATTAGAGATCAAGGTTTCAAGATTAGAAGAAGAAAACGAAAAACTTCGGAGGCTTAAGGTAAAAAGCCCATCTCTGCAGCTTGTTTCATGATCTATTGCCGTTTTAGATTTAGTGGTTTTTCTTTAATTTTGATTATAATGGCAGGAGGTGGAGAAGATCCTGCCAAGTGAACCACCACCGGATCCTAAGTGGAAACTCCGGCGAACAAACTCTGCTTCTCTTTGATCTTAAAGACTCATATTTCTTTCTTCACCTTCTTCTTTGTGTTGGTTTATATCAGACAGCTTTGTTCTTTGTATATTCTGTAGACTTTATTGACATTGAACAGTATGTCTTTATAGACATTTCTTGAGTGTATTTCTCTACTGCAGCTAGTTCAAGCTTTTTAAGTATAAACACAATTCGACAATAGTTTTGGTACCTAATAAAAATGTGACATAGGACGAGTCTCTTGTGACATTTAGTTCAATTGGTGACATGAGATAAGAGAGCATGGTAGGCAATAGATTGATGGTTATGCTACACCGTTTTGATACTTGGTTACCATATTGGGCTTTTGATTACGGCCCAATTAAATCAAGCGTCTAATTTTTCGTTTCTTCTTCTTCTTCTTCTTCGTCGAGCAACAAAGAGAGAAACCATCCCTGAGAATCCAATTCGGAAACAATCTCCGGCCATTCAATAGTAAATGCATTGCTCAGTATCCTCCGTTGTTCGTCCACTATCAGCAGATCCCGCAACAGCTATAGCCAATTTGTGCTCAAAGGGTAACCTCCGAGAAGCTTTCCAGAGATTCCGACTCAACATTTTCACAAACACTTCTCTCTTCACTCCTTTTATCCAATCATGCACCACCATACAATCTCTTCCGTCTGGAAAGCAGCTTCATTGTCTTCTCGTTGTCTCCGGATTCTCCTCCGACAAGTTCATATGCAATCACCTCATGAGCATGTACTCCAAGCTTGGAGATTTGCCTTCCGCTGTTGCATTGTATGAGCGTATGCGTAAGAAGAATTTCATGTCATCGAACATACTCATCAATGGGTATGTGCGTGCAGGCGATTTGGTAAGTGCGCGGAAGGTGTTTGATGAAATGCCTGATAGAAAGCTTACAACTTGGAATGCTATGATTGCCGGATTGATCCAGTTCGAGTATAACGAAGAGGGTTTGAGTTTGTTTAGGGAAATGCACGGATTGGGATTTTCGCCTGACGAATACACGCTTGGTAGTGTTTTTAGCGGATCTGCTGGGTTGAGGTCAGTGTCTATAGGGCAGCAGATTCATGGCTACGCGATCAAATACGGGCTTGAGTTGGATTTAGTAGTTAACAGTTCGTTGGCTCATATGTATATGAGAAATGGGAAATTGCAAGATGGCGAGATTGTCATTAGATCAATGCCTGTTCGTAATCTGGTTGCATGGAATACACTCATCATGGGGAACGCGCAAAACGGATGTCCTGAAACCGTGCTTTATCTGTATAAGATGATGAAAATCTCAGGTTGTAGGCCTAACAAGATCACTTTTGTAACTGTGCTCAGTTCTTGTTCTGACTTAGCGATAAGAGGGCAAGGTCAGCAGATTCATGCGGAAGCTATTAAGATTGGGGCTAGCTCTGTAGTAGCTGTGGTTAGTTCATTAATCAGTATGTATTCAAAATGTGGGTGTCTTGGAGATGCAGCTAAAGCTTTCTCAGAACGTGAAGATGAAGATGAAGTGATGTGGAGCTCAATGATTTCTGCTTATGGGTTTCATGGACAAGGCGATGAGGCAATCAAGCTATTTAATTCTATGGCAGAGCAAACCGAAATGGAGGTAAACGAGGTTGCGTTTCTGAATTTGCTTTATGCGTGTAGCCATTCTGGCTTAAAAGACAAAGGACTTGAGTTGTTTGACATGATGGTGGAAAAATACGGGTTCAAGCCAGGTTTAAAGCACTACACTTGTGTGGTGGACTTGCTCGGTCGAGCAGGCTGTTTGGATCAAGCCGAGGCAATAATAAAGTCTATGCCAATAAAACCAGACCCTGTTATATGGAAAACATTATTATCTGCATGTAACATACACAAAAACGCAGAAATGGCACAGAAAGTCTTTAAAGAAATTCTTGAGATTGACCCTAATGACTCTGCTTGCTATGTCCTGCTTGCAAATGTTCACGCCTCAGCTAAGAGGTGGCGTGATGTATCAGAGGTGAGAAAATCGATGAGAGATAAGAATGTGAAGAAAGAAGCGGGAATCAGCTGGTTTGAACACAAAGGTGAAGTGCATCAGTTTAAGATGGGAGATCGCTCTCAGTCTAAATCTAAAGAGATCTATTCATACCTCAAAGAACTGACCCTGGAGATGAAGCTGAAGGGATACAAGCCTGATACAGCGTCAGTGTTGCATGATATGGATGAGGAGGAGAAGGAATCAGACTTGGTGCAGCACAGCGAGAAACTAGCGGTTGCATTTGCGCTCATGATATTACCTGAAGGTGCACCGATAAGAATAATCAAGAATTTACGTGTTTGCAGTGATTGCCATGTTGCTTTCAAATATATATCGGTGATCATGAACCGAGAGATCACGTTAAGAGATGGTAGTAGATTCCATCATTTCATTAACGGAAAGTGTTCTTGCGGCGATTATTGGTAGTTGGGCAGTTAAAGTATGCTATGACTCTGTGCTTCAGAGTCTTTCTGGAGAGTTAAGCACTTGGATTGGATCGGGAAGCCATTTGGGACGAAAGCATTCAGCAACAACAAGGGTAAACTTTTATACATGTTGCCTGTTGGGTCCTATGGACACTGGTCACAAGACTCAGATTCTTTACATTGCGGTAGTAGCTTTGTAGTCTACCTTGAGATTGCTCCTGTCTGTGTTATTCTTGAGTCGGGCGCAAGAAGTGGTTTACTGTCAACTTTACTTGCTCAAGCCATCTCCGCAAGGTAGAAACTTATGTGGTCTTTCTCGTTATTTCTTATGTACCATGTTTTTGGTCGTTTGTGTAGTTTCTTCTAACCTTCCACAAGCTTGTCTTTCGATTTCACAGCAGAGATGTTAAATCAGGAATATTCAGAATGTAGAAACTTCTCTGCTCTTTCTCAAGTAGAATGCAGTCATGCACTTGTGGAATCCCTCAGATGAGATTTCATAGGTAACGTTCGTTAACTTCAACAACACCACTTTATCAATTGGCATATAAACATGTATTTCCTCGATTCATTTTTATCTTATGCAAGTGTTTGCTTTATTATGATTTGTTAAGTTTTGCATAAATAAGGACGCTAGAAGCGCTTCCCAGAATACGAGTGTTTATAAACTATTTATTAAAAGTTAATATATAAGAAAACTATAACCTAAAATATAGATTAGACAAATGGAGTTATTGGTCCACTCCACTCACCCATCCAAAATTCCAAATGAATACCGTTGATAATTCCATTGTTTTCTGTGGTAGAAGAAGACCATTTAGTAAGTCTCCCTTAATTCTATTCCATTGTACATAAATATTTTTCTGTTAAATAAATGGAAAATACAAGAAGAAAAAACGAATTGGAAGAACGAACCAACCAAGTAATGAACCAACGAGAAAAAGTCAAAGAAGGCGACTCACACTGGAAAGGAAAAGCTGA